TTTTTTGTTGCCGCCCGCCTAGCTGATCTCAACGTCCACATTGCAGGGGTCTGTGTTGGGGTTTGGGGTTCGACCCCCTTAAGAGACCGCAGCCTTCACATGGAACCCTCTGGGGCTCAAGGCAACCAAGCCTCTCTCTGCAACCGCTGAACCCTCAGACCCTGGAACCCTCAGTTTACCACCCTCAAACCCTTTTCTTGGTAGCTTGGCCTTTTTGCCCTCTCTCCTGAAACCATGCTACGCCCAAACCCCCAACAACGGAATTAGGGGTCCTTATTGTGAATCCTACTATTTGGGGTCTATATTAGGGGTCCCTTATTTTCCTCAACCTTAAACTAACTCTAAACCCTAAACCCTAAACCCGAGAAACCCTAAAAAACCCTAAAAACCCTAAAAACCCTAAAAACCCTAAAAACCCTAAAAACCCTAAAAGCCCTAAAAGCCCTAAAAACCCTAAAAACCCTCTAAACCCTAAACCCTATCCACGCTGCGCCGGGCCACGGATGTCGGCCTCCGCCGAGGCCAGGAGCACTGCGGCCAGCGCGCGGGCCATGGGGGGAAGAAGTTGTTGCCCTAAACCCTAAACCCTAAACTTGGAGCTGCCGTGTTTTCTATCTTGGGGCGGCGCGTTGGGACCCCAAAATGGGCGGATGAAGCCTCGAAGGCCGTCGTGGGAAAGCTGGGCCTCTCGTCTACAAGAGTGTGCTTTCATTCTCCGGGCCCTAAACCCTAAACCCTAAACCCTAAACCTGCTACACCCATCTTCGAGCTGACCTATGCCGATCATGACCAAGGAGGATGCAGCTAACTTGAGACCCCCAGGACTCCAAACGACTCCATAAAACCCGAGCAAAGGTATCCATTTGTTAAAGTGCCGCCTGCAATCTGCGGCAAAGCTTTGAGCCAGACCAAACAAAGAGTAGGAACTTCTCTTCGTTCGTAGGGAATGATGGGGGGGGGGGTTGATTGCAACGTCTGCAATTGCCAGCACACCTCATTCCCCATGGCGGAAGGGGGTTCTTCGACATCGAGGGCCCCATGAGAACCAGACACCGAGGACTATGGTACACTCCCAAGCAGTTTAGGGTGGGTTTCAGGGTGGGCTTCGGATGGGTAGGTTTAGGGTTGCATCATGCCAACCGCACAACGCCCCGAGAAGACTGCCTTAACATCAGAGTCTCCTCCTCACGCAAGTGCCGCACGAGCTTCAGGAACTCGCCCTGCATTCTGGGTTGGAGTCTACAGGGTTTTTTGCGGTTTGGGGTCTAGGGTTTGTGGCGCCGACAATTGCATTCGAGGAGCTTGAAGGCGAATCTGGATCTTAACCCTCAGCCATTTTGAGGCTGCCGGCTTCGGGCTCAGAGGGTTGCTAAGGAGCCTGGACTTCGACTTCAAAAGCCAGCACCCGGTCGAAGTAAGTTGCGAGGGCTTCATTAGCCCGAGCTTGGGGCTGAAGACCACCCTAAAGGCTTCGGGCTTAGGGTTTAAAGCCCTGCGCCTAGGTAGGGTTTAGGGCTTCGGGGCCTAGGGTCCCAAAATTCGGCAGCGGGAGCCCGCGCCTCGTGGATGGCACCTGTGCTGGAAAGCGAAGGTTCTGACTGGCGAGGTGGTCTCTTCCGGCGGGTGCTTGACATGTGAGTCCGCGTTACCCGCAACAACTGTTCCTGCATGCAGCAGGGCATGAGCGGCGGGGCCCAAGTTAGTTCAATCATTCGTGGCCCGTTTGGCCCACCCAGCAGGCGGAGGTGTTTTGTGTTCCTAACGTCGGCCCGGCTTGTTTTCCTTGCTATACCTCACCCAGCAAAGCCGCCAGAACAGGCTCAACAGCGGATTAGGGTTTAGGATTTGACTTGAGGGCAGTGTTTTTCTAGGGTTTAGGATTTCGACTTTAGGATTTAGGGTGTAGAGCTCAGGACAGCACTACTGAGAGCCCACAGAACGGTTCGCGTACGACCACGAGAGCACAGCCCGAAACCTCAACACCTGTCCCCCGCCCCACCCAAAAAAAACAACACTAATAATAAGAAGAAAAGTAATAATATTAATAGTAATGAGAATGAGAATACGAATGATCGGAGGAAGAAGAAGAAGAAGAAGTTCAAACACCCCGAGCCCGGGGCCGCTCTTGTCCAAGTCCACCCGGCACCACAACTGCCGGCGCCGCTGCGTGGACAGAGGGTAACCGAGCCTCAGTCTCATCCAGCACCAGACCAACCGTTTTTTGAACCGGTTTAGGGTTTAGGGTTTGGGGTTTAGGGTTTAGGGTTTAGGGTTCAGGGTTTAGGGTTGAGGGTTAGGGTTTAGGGTTCTGGACGAAGGAAGTCGGGACTTAGAGGTACCTTCTGTTTAGGGGCCCTCTTGAGAGGACTTAAGGTCCCTGAGTAAAGCGCTTGACTCGGACTCCAGCGGTCCCTCTACAACCACACCAAGAATGGTAGGGATACTAGGCAACTAACTCCCTAACTATTCACACGGCAGAGAGATAAGGTAGCTAACTCCACATGGTAGGGATGTAAGGCAGCTAACTCCCCTAAGTATTCACATGGTAGGGATATATAAGGTACCTAGCTCCCTAACTATTCGCATGGTGGGGAGATAAGGTAGCTAAAACTCCCTAAGTGAATCACAGACCAGGCCCCCCTGGCCAGCTGAGTGCACGCGTCAGCTCGAACTCGCGGAGCTCATCCCGCCCCTTGCCAGTGCCGACGGCTCAAGTGGGGTTTAGGGTGGAGGGCTCAGGGTTTAGGGTTTAGGGTTTAGGGTTTAGGGTTTAGGGTTTAGGGTTTAGGGTTTAGGGTTTAGGGTTTAGGGTTTAAAGTACCAAAGGTTAAGGGCTTAGGGTTTCTAGGCTTGGGGTTTAGGGTTTAGAGTCTAGGGTGTAAGTGCAGGGTTTAGGAGTCTAGGGGTTAGGGTGCTTTGCATGGGCTCCGGAACACCCATGTAGCAATCTCATGGTCACAGCCTGGCTTCCTTTTGTTCCGATCTGCATCCCTTCTGTGTCCCTTCTGCGTCACGCTCAAATGGGAAAAAACTATCTTTCCTGGCCACTGCAACTCTCACGCCGGAGTGGCCGGACATCAAATGGCACCAATGACAGCAGAAATGCGGCAAGGAGTTCAACGAGCCTGCGGCATTTGCCCTGCGGCATTTGCGGCGTGGAATCCGAGACAAACAACCGCGCTGCGTTCTGAGACGGAGTCTGTCCCTTAGGATGTAGTCCGTGCTCGGAGCTCGTTTCTGAGAATTGGTGAGGCTTTGCTCGGTGAAACCTAGACACAGCTGCACACACCTGCACACCGTCCGCTTCAGATGAGCCTCTCGGGCTCGGACAAGCGGCGATCGATGTGGACTTTGTCGCCGAGCCCGAGCGCTTTCACCACGGCGGCGGAGTCTTCTTTGGGCACGCCCTTGATGTCAATCTTGCCACCCACGGGCACTGAGAGCTTCCCAGCATTCTTTGCAGAAGTGACGGCACTCTTGTCCACCTCCGCCTTAGGCGGGGGGACATCGGCGTGGGCCTCCTCCAGCGTCTCCTCTGCAGCCTTGGCGTCACCCTTGCCCATGGCACTCGACATCTGTTCCAGTTGCTTCTGCTTCGCCTCGGCGTCCTTGGCCGCGGCCTTCGAAGCCTTGTACTCCGTGAAGGCTCCGAGGTCGACGGTATCTTTCTGGCTGGACCAGTAGAGGTTCTTGTGGACGAAGAGGTAGCCAATGTCCGACGTGTTCTGGCAACTCTGAAGGGAATCGAGAGCGCCCACGTGGCTCATGCCGTCGACCACCAGCTTCGTCGTCTCGCCGAGCTTGATGTTAAACGGGCCCATGATCGGCTCCTTGACGAAGGAATCCTTCAGATCCCCCGAATTGAGCAGGTTCATGCCCGCATAGCACTTGTCGATGGGTCCCGAGTAGATGTTGGCCAGCGTGCCAAGGTTGGGCTGCAAGATCTGCATGACCACGCCGTAGAATGCAATCTTTCCCTTGGTCATGCCCACAACGTCCGCGCTGCAGACCAAACCCGGCACGCAATTCGCGGCGAACTCGTTGTCAGCATGGGCAGAGTTCTGGAAGATGCTGAAGTAGGTGCAGCCTGCCGTGCCCATCTTGTTCATGTTCTTCTCTGCCACCGGACGGCAACCATGATCCTTGAAGATTGTCTTGGCCAGCTCATCCGTGGGTCCGTAGAAGGTGTTCGTGTTGATGCCGGTCTGAATCTCCAAGGCGGAACCCCGGTTCTCGTCACAGCAGCTCCCCATCAACTGGAGCGAACCCAAGTTTGGACTCATAGTTTTCACGTCCTCAACGTAGTCCTTGATGGACTTCTCCGCGAGCTCCTCCCCAGTCACCGTCACGGAGGCGCGGGCCCAGGCGGAAGCGCGGGCCACGAGCCCCAGGCACAAGACGGCGAACAGCGACATGATCGATGTCAAGCAGAGGAGAGGAGATGAAAACCGGGCAGGGCTGAGCCAAGCTTGCTTGAGCCAGACCTGTTCCTCCGCAGCGTGTAAGACTTAAAGACTTAAAGAGCTGACACATACTGCCAGACGGGCTTCAAACAGTGGCCTTTCTTCAGGGTCCAGCGTTGAGATTTCTCGGCTCGGTTGCCGGCTCGCGGCTTGCGATTTGGGGATGGCGTTTGTAGCAATCTCATGGTCACAGCCTGGCTTCCTTTTGCTCCCTTCTGCATCCCTTCTGTGTCCCTTCTGCGTCACGCTCAAATGGAAAAAACTATCTTTCCTGGCCACTGCAACTCTCACGCCGGAGTGGCCGGACATCAAATGGCACCCAATGACAGCAGTAGTGCGGCAAGGAGTTCAACGAGCCTGCGGCATTTGCCCTGCGGCATTTGCGGCGTGGAATCCGAGACAAACAACCGCGCTGCGTTCTGAGACGGAGTCTGTCCCTTAGGATGTAGTCCGTGCTCGGAGCTCGTTTCTGAGAATTGGTGAGGCTTTGCTCGGTGAAACCTAGACACAGCTGCACACACCTGCACACCGTCCGCTTCAGATGAGCCTCTCGGGCTCGGACAGGCGGCGATCGATGTGGACTTTGTCGCCGAGCCCGAGCGCTTTCACCACGGCGGCGGAGTCCTCTTTGGGCACGCCCTTGATGTCAATCTTGCCACCCACGGGCACTGAGAGCTTCCCAGCATTCTTTGCAGAAGTGACGGCACTCCTGTCCACCTCCGCCTTAGGCGGGGGAACATCGGCGTGGGCCTCCTCCAGCGTCTTCTCTGCAGCCTTGGCGTCACCCTTGCCCATGGCACTCGACATCTGTTCCAGTTGCTTCTGCTTCGCCTCGGCGTCCTTGGCCGCGGCCTTCGAAGCCTTGTACTCCGTGAAGGCTCCGAGGTCGACGGTATCTTTCTGGCTGGACCAGTAGAGGTTCTTGTGGACGAAGAGGTAGCCAATGTCCGACGTGTTCTGGCAACTCTGAAGGGAATCGAGAGCGCCCACGTGGCTCATGCCGTCGACCACCAGCTTCGTCGTCTCGCCGAGCTTGATGTTAAACGGGCCCATGATCGGCTCCTTGACGAAGGAATCCTTCAGATCCCCCGAATTGAGCAGGTTCATGCCCGCATAGCACTTGTCGATGGGTCCCGAGTAGATGTTGGCCAGCGTGCCAAGGTTGGGCTGCAAGATCTGCATGACCACGCCGTAGAATGCAATCTTTCCCTTGGTCATGCCCACAACGTCCGCGCTGCAGACCAAACCCGGCACGCAATTCGCGGCGAACTCGTTGTCAGCATGGGCAGAGTTCTGGAAGATGCTGAAGTAGGTGCACCCTGCCGTGCCCATCTTGTTCATGTTCTTCTCTGCCACCGGACGGCAACCATGATCCTTGAAGATTGTCTTGGCCAGCTCATCCGTGGGTCCGTAGAAGGTGTTCGTGTTGATGCCGGTCTGAATCTCCAAGGCGGAACCCCGGTTCTCGTCACAGCAGCTCCCCATCAACTGGAGCGAACCCAAGTTTGGACTCATAGTTTTCACGTCCTCAACGTAGTCCTTGATGGACTTCTCCGCGAGCTCCTCCCCAGTCACCGTCACGGAGGCGCGGGCCCAGGCGGAAGCGCGGGCCACGAGCCCCAGGCACAAGACGGCGAACAGCGACATGATCGATGTCAAGCAGAGGAGAGGAGATGAAAACCGGGCAGGGCTGAGCCAAGCTTGCTTGAGCCAGACCTGTTCCTCCGCAGCGTGTAAGACTTAAAGACTTAAAGAGCTGACACATACTGCCAGACGGGCTTCAAACAGTGGCCTTTCTTCAGGGTCCAGCGTTGAGATTTCTCGGCTCGGTTGCCGGCTCGCGGCTTGCGATTTGGGGATGGCGTTTGTAGCAATCTCATGGTCACAGCCTGGCTTCCTTTTGCTCCCTTCTGCATCCCTTCTGTGTCCCTTCTGCGTCACGCTCAAATGGAAAAAACTATCTTTCCTGGCCACTGCAACTCTCACGCCGGAGTGGCCGGACATCAAATGGCACCCAATGACAGCAGTAGTGCGGCAAGGAGTTCAACGAGCCTGCGGCATTTGCCCTGCGGCATTTGCGGCGTGGAATCCGAGACAAACAACCGCGCTGCGTTCTGAGACGGAGTCTGTCCCTTAGGATGTAGTCCGTGCTCGGAGCTCGTTTCTGAGAATTGGTGAGGCTTTGCTCGGTGAAACCTAGACACAGCTGCACACACCTGCACACCGTCCGCTTCAGATGAGCCTCTCGGGCTCGGACAGGCGGCGATCGATGTGGACTTTGTCGCCGAGCCCGAGCGCTTTCACCACGGCGGCGGAGTCCTCTTTGGGCACGCCCTTGATGTCAATCTTGCCACCCACGGGCACTGAGAGCTTCCCAGCATTCTTTGCAGAAGTGACGGCACTCCTGTCCACCTCCGCCTTAGGCGGGGGAACATCGGCGTGGGCCTCCTCCAGCGTCTTCTCTGCAGCCTTGGCGTCACCCTTGCCCATGGCACTCGACATCTGTTCCAGTTGCTTCTGCTTCGCCTCGGCGTCCTTGGCCGCGGCCTTCGAAGCCTTGTACTCCGTGAAGGCTCCGAGGTCGACGGTATCTTTCTGGCTGGACCAGTAGAGGTTCTTGTGGACGAAGAGGTAGCCAATGTCCGACGTGTTCTGGCAACTCTGAAGGGAATCGAGAGCGCCCACGTGGCTCATGCCGTCGACCACCAGCTTCGTCGTCTCGCCGAGCTTGATGTTAAACGGGCCCATGATCGGCTCCTTGACGAAGGAATCCTTCAGATCCCCCGAATTGAGCAGGTTCATGCCCGCATAGCACTTGTCGATGGGTCCCGAGTAGATGTTGGCCAGCGTGCCAAGGTTGGGCTGCAAGATCTGCATGACCACGCCGTAGAATGCAATCTTTCCCTTGGTCATGCCCACAACGTCCGCGCTGCAGACCAAACCCGGCACGCAATTCGCGGCGAACTCGTTGTCAGCATGGGCAGAGTTCTGGAAGATGCTGAAGTAGGTGCAGCCTGCCGTGCCCATCTTGTTCATGTTCTTCTCTGCCACCGGACGGCAACCATGATCCTTGAAGATTGTCTTGGCCAGCTCATCCGTGGGTCCGTAGAAGGTGTTCGTGTTGATGCCGGTCTGAATCTCCAAGGCGGAACCCCGGTTCTCGTCACAGCAGCTCCCCATCAACTGGAGCGAACCCAAGTTTGGACTCATAGTTTTCACGTCCTCAACGTAGTCCTTGATGGACTTCTCTGCGAGCTCCTCTCCAGTCACCGTCACGGAGGCGCGGGCCCAGGCGGAAGCGCGGGCCACGAGCCCCAGGCACAAGACGGCGAACAGCGACATGATCGATGTCAAGCAGAGGAGAGGAGATGAAAACCGGGCAGGGCTGAGCCAAGCTTGCTTGAGCCAGACCTGTTCCTCCGCAGCGTGTAAGACTTAAAGACTTAAAGAGCTGACACATACTGCCAGACGGGCTTCAAACAGTGGCCTTTCTTCAGGGTCCAGCGTTGAGACCCTGGCCTTGGAGGTGAACTTCCGGAACACGGACTTCAGCTCCTGCGCCTCAGGAGCCCACCCGGAGCCTGATGAGCCCCCTTTTGTTGCGGCTACACTTCTAAACCTTGGGCACTTTCTTGGGGGGGGGAACTACTGCAGGGCTTTTCTCAGCACGCTGGGGTTTGGGGTCATCGGAACTTCTTTCTCATAGGGCTTCCGCATCCACTCCGGGCCTCATCCTTGGAGAAGCCCTCGTTGGCACGGATGTAGGCCAAGACATGCACGCAGTCCTCTTGAGGCTCTGGGTTTCGGGCTTAGGGTTTTAGGGTTTTAGGGTTTAGGGTTTTAGGGTTTTAGGGTTGTAGGGTTTTAGGGTTTCAGGGTTTCAGGGTTTTGGGTTGGAGCGCGACTCAAAAACCCATCTGAAAGCCACACGGAAGCTGCTAAAAGCCGAGCCCGAAGGCGATCCTCGAAGATGATACCATCCTCCACCCCGGAGGGGAAGAGGCTCTCCACAGCCTCCTCAATGACCTGCGCTGTGTTCTTACATAGGCAGGGGTTGGGGTTTGGGATATGTGTCCCGAGTGCATCCGGGGCTCGGGGACTTTCGAGCTGTCTCCGGTGTGCCTCGGAAGACCTTCTTTTACTTGGCACTTCGGAGGACTCTTGGTCTAGCTGTTCCTGATTTCCTGATCCCGATGTGCCCGAGACGCTCCAACTTGAGGTTCCGCCAGCTCTCCGCACCCCGGTCCCTTCTTGGGGACCCTGGCGAAGATATGGACTCGCGCATGCTGTTGTTCTTATACCTACCTATGTGATCCTATGTGTATATTCATAAATAGATGTATATACATACATATGTATATATATATATTCATATTTATATTTATTTAGTTATTTATATATCTCTTCTCTGTATAAGGAGGTACGTACTTGCATATTCATAGATACACATCCATATATATACACACAATAAGGTACCGCAAAAGGGACGTCACAAATAAAGGAAAGCACAGACTTCCGCGCAAGCCAAGCGCCCGGCTGAGGAGTGGATGGTGTAGCCCAGCCTGCGCCCAGCAGCCCCACAGCAACCCAGACTGTCCTAGCAGAGCCGGGCTCAGCCGCGCTGCGCCAGGCGCAGGCCCCAACAAGCCCACGAACACAAAACAAGGAAGCTCCAAACCTGGACTCTCGTTTCCTAAGCCCCTTGCACCCTTCGTTCGCTCCCTGGAACCCTTCCTACAGCCAACCCTTGGGTTGGAGCTCCGGAGCTCCTGCAGCACCCTGCAGCCTGTGTCTCTAATCTAAACCCAGTTTGTTTTTCTTAAGAGAGAGAGAGAGAGAGAGAGAGAGAGAGAGAGAGAGAGAGACAGAGAGAGAGAGACAGAGAGAGAGAGAGAGAGAGAGAAAAAAAAAGCGTAAAACCCTAAGACCCCACAGCCCTCAAACAGCCCCCGGAAGCCCTAGAAACTTTTCCTAGGACCTTAAAGCCCTGCGATCCAGTTGCCGGGCCCAGCTGGCTCAACTCCTGGGCCCCCCAACTTGAAGAAGAGCTCCGACAGCTCTTGCCTGCTGCAATGTGGTCTCTTGGGGAGTTTTTGCGGTTGGGGAGTTTGGTGTTTAGGTTGGTCTTTGTGTGTTCGGGTTTCGGGCTTAGGATTTTAATTACGAGCTCCTCGCTTTCCGCGCGTGCTCTTTGGGGTGGGGATGCCAGGTTGAGGGCTGGCCACGGCTTACACGATGCTGACAAGACAACCCCAAAAAAAGGAAGCAACAACGCCGAGGCTGAGCTGAAATGCCGGGCCCTAAACCCGTCAACGGCCCCCCTTACCCGTTTTGCATCCGGGCTATGATGTCCTGCCCCCTAACCCTAAACCCTAAACCCTAAACCCTTTTTTTAACCCTAAACCCCCAAAGCCTAAACCCTAAACCCCGAAACGGCCCCAACAAACCCTGCTTTGGGCCCCCGTGCATGTCGAGGAAGCCCGAGTCGTCGTCGTCCATGGCGGCAAAGAGCGCCCGGAACCTGGGCTTCGGCTTCCCGGGGTTCCCTGAGCCCTAAAACCTCTGGGACCCAAAACCCTAAATCCTAAACCCTAAACCCTAAACCCTAATCCTAAACCCTAAACCCTGAATCCTAAACCCTAAACCCCCTCAACCCCCTAAACCCTGAACCCCCTAAACCCGAAACCCCAAACCCCCTACACCCTAAACCCTAAACCCTGAATCTCGTTGTGGTGGTTGGGGAGGGGGGGGAGGTCGGCACGCTGGTCTGGTGATGGGCTACGCTGCTGTGCGAGTTTTGGGGGGGTTCTGTAGGCTTTTCGAGATCTGATGCCGGGGCTGATCGAAACGATGAGAAGTCCTGTATTTTTAGGGAATCCATTTTTTGGGTGGTCTACATTGGCTGTCCCTTATTCTCATAAATTCCCATGTACGTATTGACTAAAGTTCAGCCCCGGAGCTCTTCGATCTCCTCTTCTGCCACGCACCTCGAACGGGTGAAAGGCCGGGCGTTGTCGACCCCAAAACACGGTTTTAGGGTTTAGGGTTTAGGGTTCAGGGTAGGGCCCCAGTGAACTTGCAGCCGGGCCCATATCTGTTGATAAGACATATTCCAACCAACAGGATTGCAGGGGTGAGTTGCCGGCCGCCGACAACTGGGAATCGAACACCCTAAAGTACACTGTCCCATGAATGATGTCGTCTGAGTGGGCCCGTTTCATCCATTCCAAGTCAAATTCCCGTGGTCTTCCCGTCTCAAGGTCTCAAGCCCAACAGACACCACCGTGTGACTGGTCCTTGGGAACCTGTTGCTTGGACCTAAGAGGAATGGAACTTACAGGAGATTAGCTTCTTCTATGTCTCCGCCTAACCCTAAACCCTCAACCACACCCGGCGCTGCCTCATGATGCGGAGGAACTCCGGCCGGCTGATGCTTTGGATGGACTGCACGGCAGTGCCATGAGGTCGTGAATGCTGCCCTCTGCTCTTGAACTCCTCTGTGGGCATCCCTTCCCAAGGTTATGTGGTGCCAACTGATGGCAAAATTCGGGTGGTCATTCAGCAGGGCATCGAACGGGCCAAGTCCGAAACCCATCGAATCAAACTTCAGCCGCTTCAATATGCACTTGTCATGGATGGTGGTTCCTGCAGCGAACGGCAGCTTCAGATCTGAGGGGCATCAGCTGCTTCCCTGAAGAGACAGAGCCCATTGATTCTGCTAAGCCCTTCCCTTAACTCAAGGCTTTCATCATCCGAGACGTCTCTTTGCCTTAGCCCTCAACACCCTTTCGAAGGCCTTCTCCAGGTACCGCTCGATGATGTCCCGCGCCTCCGCAATGCTCGTGGGATGGCCGCACCTGCGTCGGACCGGAGCCCAGGGGGCGTTTCTGGCTCTGCGCGGCCGTTGAGTGGGTGCCTTCCTGGTGTCCCACAAAAAACCCTAAAACCCTATAAACCCACAAAAATCATCGGAAAACCTGAGAGACAAAGCCTGTCGACTCTAAGCCCAGCACCAGCCCAGTGCACCCGCAAGCTCATCGGCTGAGAGCTCGCCTCCGCGGTTAGCATTGACTTGGAGGTTCAGGAACACTGCACTGTAGAACCCAATACAGGCTCCCTATGCTTTACACTTGCGTAGCACCCATGAACCTCAAAGTAGGGGCAGAATCCCCCGCCAGCCCAACCCACCTTCCCTCCCCCCACACGGACACATCGCCTGAGAGGTCCGCGTCGTAGCGGTCAAAGAGTGTGTAGAAGGCCTTGACCTGCGACGGGCAGCTTCGGGAGGCATTCAGACAGCTGGCACTTTGAGAGCGATTCCTGCAGCATGAGGCGCGAAAGATTGAGCAGTTCACCAAAGCGCCCCTGAATCTAGAACAACAACTTCAGAAGGCAGGCATTGCATGCTCATGACGCACCGCCTCTGACCGGGAGAAACCAAACCGGTCGTAGACCTAAGTTCAAGATGCAGCTTCGATAGACCCACGTATAGACCCACGTCTGGAGCCTGAACGACGCTGTCTAACTTGTTTAGCTCATCTGAAGGTGGCTGACATGCGCATGCATGTTCCTGGCAATGCTCCGCCTTCGGTGGCGAGCAGTACGGCACCCTGGCGCTTCAGCTGGGGCTGGCACGATCTTCAGCACCAGCTCAAACCTTGGAGCGCAGGGAGGAGGAGCACGGCGCACACGACATGCCGGCGCCTACACTGCTTCCCCCCAACCCGCAAGCACTACGGTTCTTTTTTTGGGGGGGGTGGCGTTGTGTTCTCTAAGCTGGAATCGCGCACCTTGTCGATGCGCAACTAAAGGGGCTTGGGGTTCAGGCTGCCTTAGTGTCGGAGTGTTGCACAGGGGCCCCGTGCTCCTTCAGCTCCACGGTCCCGGACCTGGAGGAGGGCAGGTTCTGCGCAAGGGGGGGGCTTTGTGGGCTTTCGGCTGTGAAACATTTCAAGGGGTTCTCTAGGGGGGGCCCCTCTTAGGGGGGGCATTTTGTGAGGATCCCGAAACCCTAAACCCCAAACCCTAAACCCTAAACCCTAAGAGGGGCTCGAGCGATTCTACACAGCTCAGCTTCGCGGGTTGCAGCTCTCCCGCGCCTGTCGCGATCCACCTCCTCGAAGATCTCATCCAACGTCTCCCTGCGACCAAGCTCTGGGGACCCTAGGCCTCCAACCTCCGGGTTTAGGGTTTAGGGTTTAGGGTTTTGGGTTTGGGGTATGGGGTTTAGGGTTTAGGGTTTAGGGAGTGGTCATTGCTGGCTCTTGCTCGGTCCATTGTTGGGTTTAGGGTTTAGGGTTCAGGGTTTGGGTTTGTGTCCCTCCCTGCAGGGGTTTAGGGCTTGGGCATGTTTAGGGCTTGTCATCAAACTTCTTCAAGATCCCCAGAACCCTAGACCAGCCTGTTCACGGAGTAGCCGGTGTCCCAGAGAAGCCGGCGCAGCTCTGACTTATCGATGGACCCTGGCAGTGTCTGCGAAGGCTGTTTTAAGGGTTTAAGGGTTCAGGGTGTAGGAGCGGTTTTGGGTGGCCTTGAATACCTCAACGCGCAACCGTCTAGGGTCGTTATTACCAGATGTGTATAAACAGAAGGTGTTTAAGGTTAGGGGGGAAGAACAAAAAGGGCTTTAGACGCGGTGCCAGAGGCTCGTCTCCCCGAAGCCGCGTTGCCTAGATGTCTGAGGGCATAACAGTTGAATACACCCCCGACTCGTCGCCAACTCGACCAGGACGTCGGCAAAAAAGCACCCCTAAGCTTAAAGGAGAAGGGACTACCCTCAGCAGCACCCGCCATTGAAATACAAGGAAGCCTCCCCCCCCCTTTGGGCCTGAGCTATCTTCGTCCAGCTGCTCGAACTGCGCCTGGAGATGCAAAAAAAAAGAGAGGCTCCGTTTTCCCCTCGTTTTGTTAAGTCGGGGGGGGGGGGGGGGGGTCGGGTTCAGGGCTTGTTTTTTGAGGGGGGGGGGGTGGGTTGACTTTTTCCTTCCGGGATTTAGGGCGTTTTGTTGGGGCGAGTAAGGGGAGGGAGGAAGGCGAGTTCAAGCTCGCAGGGGTTGAGGGTGTTAGGGGTTTTGGGGCTTCGAGTAGGGGCCTTGATCTGCTGCGCGCGGTGCACCTCGAAGTGATGGATGACCTTGGCGGTCTAGGGTTTAGGGTTTAGGGTTTGGGGTTTGGGGTTTAGGGTTTAGGGTGGAGGGTTTTTAGGGTTTAGGGTTTAGGGTTTAGGGTTTAGGGTTTAGGGTTTAGGGTTTAGGGTTTAGGGTTTAGGGTTTAGGGTGTTTCTTTTGAGCGGGGGCCCTTGCGAGGAGCTCAGGATGTGGTTGACACACCAGGGTTTAGGGTTCAGGGCGCAACTTTGGGACAGGAGTTGAGGGAACTTCTGATGTAAGGGTCTCCATCTTTAGCTGCCATTCAACCTGCAGCTGGTCTTCATTCGAAGGTAGAAGGCTACGGGCTAGGAGAGGAAGCTTAAGGGTCAATGGGCTGGTGGTGGCATGTGTGCGATCTGGCTTCAGATCTGCCAGCAGGGGTCCTATTTTTTGAAACTAAAGGGTCGCTGGTGCTCTGGAACACGTTCCCAAGCCCACGCAGAGCATGCAGGGAGCCACCGCGAACTCATCCAGCGCCAGCGGCTGATCCATGGAACTTCGGTACAGCAGCGTGAGCAATGAGTCCTGGAACGCAAGGCTCACCACTCGTCAGGATTCCTTTTCGGGTGAGGGTTGAGGGCTTAAACTTGGGCCCCTCAAGTTCAACTTTGTTCTGGCTGACTGTCTAAACAGCATCCCTTAAGAGTTATCAAGTCAAGCTGCAGGAGCTCTCTTGGAACCCAAAGGAAGAGCATGAAACAATGGGCGCAAGAGGGCCCACCATGCGGCTCGGGCTTAGGCTTGAAGCCCACCCCTCCCCGAAACTTTCTAAACCCTAAACCCGAAACCCTAAACCTGAACCCTAAACCCTAAACCCTAAACCCTGAACCCCCAACCCCACACGCCGGGTGCCTCGATGCGCTTTGGGTCCGGACTGAGGTAGCTCAGCGCCTGCGGGGCGACGTTGGGCTTCGGGATCCCTTTGCGCTTGGGGGGTTATAGGGGGGGGGGGGGGTCTTTGGGATGAGGGATGTTTAGGGCCTCCGGGATTTTGATTGAGGTTTTGCGGCCTGAAGGGTTTTCGGTTCTCTGGGCACAGCGCAGATCCCCCCCCTCTGACACTAACGCTGCCCTCCTCCCCGTGTCGGCTCCGGGGCCTCTAGCGCGCGGGGCAGGCGGTCGATGGGCAGGCCTGGCGTGTGGTTCATGGGCGCGCATGGCCCAAGTGCAACTGGGTTTAGGGCCGATTTGAGGGTCGAGAGGCGCTCTTGTCCGGGCTTGGGTTGAGGGCAGTTCTTTGGGAGGTCTTGCGAGGCGGTTTTGTTCAACTCCCGTTGATGGCTGTGTCCGTTGAAGCAATCCGGCTCCTGGGTTTCTCAGTGGAGTCAAAGAATCGCTTTTTTTACGAGAGGCACCGCAGTTCGTCCGTGTCCTCGCTATTGATACCTTGAAGCCTCCGTTCGGCTCTCGCACAAAAACGCCTTTTACTCACTGAAGAAGGGCTCCAAGAGATCAGAGTCTCACAAGCCGCTGCCCGCACCGGAATAGGAGCCTCAGTTCCCAACCGGGACAAGGCAATGAGGACGAGTGGGTTACCTAAACCCTTTTTCAACCCAGGCCCCCTAAACCCTAAAACCTAAACCCTAAACCCTAAGCCCTCACAAAAAGCCAATAACAGAAGCCCCAAGGAGCCGTAGAAGAAGACGGCCAGCAGGCCCACGGCCGCTGTGCCCGCCAACAAGCCTCGGTTGGGGTCTCTGAGAATCAGGGCTCTGCACCCATCAAGAGAAGCCCCGTGAGATAGTTTTATCTATGTGTATACATATATATATATATGTATATGTATATACATATCTTTATACGTTATGTGCACGTATATACGAAACTAGTTCTATAAGGGTAACCCCCCCCCCCCCCCCAGAGTGACCTGCCTGGGCTTGCGTTGTCTGAGGTCATGCAGCTGCACTACCAGGTTCAGCAACATGAAAGCAAAAAACACCAAAACCAAGTAAGCGGAACCAAGAATACACAAAAAGAAAGCAAACACAGAAACAAGAAGAATTCCGGTAGAGTTCCAGAACTCTTGGAGCAGTTAAGTAAGGAATAAACCCCGGCAACTATTTTTTTGGGCTGTTGCTTTGTGTCTAGAGTTTTGGCATTTTTGTTGTTCTTGGTTGTGGCTTTTTGGTCTCTTGCGCATGTGTGTGTGTGTGTTTGATGTTATGTTTTAGCTTTTCTAGTCAAGTACAAACAAAGCTCCTCTAACATAGGAAAAAGAACATCGGATTCATGGAAGAGAGTCTATAGTTTTTAGCGAATCCCCGACGGCTCGGAAGCCTTGCAGGCATAGTAGCACTTGAGCCTCCATGGCGTCTCGCATGTCGGGGCGCAAGTCTTTTGGATGCTTCGGAATTGTAGATTTCGTAGCACTATGCACTTCTGAGAAGATGTGCTCTTCCAGGCTTTTCTGTGCAAGTTGTGTTTTGCTATGCATAGAGTTTCGTTCGTATACAACCAATATGTGATTAAACTGCTTGTGGAGGAGTGGTTAATTCGTGTTTCGTTCAGATTCTGCTTGCATTCACTTAGCCTTGCAATTCAAATTTACAACTCAATGAATATTGGGCCTACTTGCCTAGGGAAACCCGAAAACCCAAAATCTAAACTTCCCCGACAATTTTCCCGAGAAGCTTAGGCTTTTAGGCTTTTGTGGATTTGTGGATGCTCCTAGCCTTCTCTCCGTAGATAAGTTTCGAATGTCTAACTAAGTTTTAATTGTTACTCAATATTGGTCGTATCGATTAATTTATTCAACTTGCCTATAGTGAGTACTTCATTAGTAGGCCATGATTTTTCATGAATCCTATGTTAAATACCACTATTTGTACTGAAAGAGCGCAGTTTTGCCTGGACGAAACACTCTTGGCCTAAAAAAGCTCAATCTGCCTGGAGAAACACAAAAAATCTAAACCGAAACAAGTGTCCTCTTCTTATCGCCCTTGGGAGATTCTTCATATAGATTAGTCCAATGTGGGGCTTGTGGGGCGGCTGTCCCAATAGCTGTCCTTCATTGCTCGGCGCCAGACTCGAGATAACAAACCCCACACACTAAACACTTCTCCGTCCAACCGTCGATGTTTTTTTGGTATTGCTCCCACAAATACACATGTACAGTTATCTGTTTCTTGTTGGCATTTATATCTTATGTCTACAGTTACTTGTTCAAAATATGTAGACAGACCGATGTAGGTTGGGGTTGCATCCTCTGCGGGCCAGGAAGCCCAAGAAGACCAGAGGGAACCGGGTCGGCTCGCCACCAGTCGCGGCCATGCTCACTCCGAGGGAACGGCCCTCTGCCTCTCGGGCGGGGAGGTGCGGGGAGTGGGGCACGGGTGGGTTGGAGGGTCTTACTGCACACCCAAGGTCGGCAGGGCTTAGGGTCTGCCGTGCCATCTTCACGGGTCTTGCAGTTTAGGGCTTAAAATTGAGGATTCAGGGTTCAGGGTTGAGGGATTTCTTGCTTGGGGTTTCGGGCCAGGGGAAGAGCCCTGTGCCTGGAAGCTGGGTGCCTGGGCCAAGGCTCCGGCTGCCTGAGGGCCGGCGTTCCGAAGCGGCTGGGGGGCCACGAAGCTCTCCACGGGCAGGAGGACATACCTCAAAGAAGCGAGTAAGCTGGCTGAGTAAGGGGTCGACTCGTGCCTTTCTTTGGGGTTTGGCCTTCTTTGCCCGAGCTTCTATTACCAAGGAAAAACATCCTTGCCGTGGGTTATAACTTAAACTAACAACCTCGCTCTCCCTCCGGCCCAAGGTGCAGGGCGCAGGCCACCAGGGCCACCACCAGGAGGTTGGCGCTGCGCTTGGCCATTGTTCAGGCGGGGAGAGAAGTGGCGGCCACAGAGTCGCGTCGAGCTTGAGCCAACTCGGATTCGCCCCAGGCTCGCAAGTACCAAGCTGATTTCGTACGTATATATATATATATATATAACAGATATGATATCCAAAATTCTTTATAATGTAATATGTATATATATATATAACCACGCTTCCCGGATGCACCTTACCTGGCCCCAACATCCTATCAGCAACACCGTTACGCCGTAACCGTTACGCCACCCTGGTGCAACCAAGCCGGAGGCGCCGTTGCCGCTGTTCGGGGGGTACTCCATGGAAGCGTGCGTGGCCTGAACTTTCGCATTCCTCGCAATCTCCCGCACCTGGGCAGAAGTATTCGGGGAGAAGCCGAAGATCCACATGTTGACCCAATCTCTGAGAAGACCTGAAGCATCTCAAACCCCAACCTCCCTCTCTTCGAAGACCCCCAAGTCCTAAACACAAAAGGAAGCACACCTCCTTCTGAAGCGTCGGATCCGGCTTGCTCCGAGGACTGCCATCCTCGTCGAGATCCTCCTGGCACGTGCGAGTATTCCGGCGACTTCGGGCTTAAGGAGGGCAGCTGTTGCAAGCCCTAAGCCCTGAATGATGGCCTTTAGGGGCAGTGGGGTGCCCACAACGATTCAGGACGGCTACGAGCAGGATTGAAGCGTTGTTGTCATCCATGGCTGGCTCGTTGCTGCTGCCAGAGGCAGCCGCGAAGCTTCAGGACCGGCCTCGACCGGAACAATGTCATCGTCACCGCCGCGGGCACTCTTCGGCGACCTCTGCGGGACCAGACGAACCGGAATTTCTTCGTAACCCTACACTGCCACCTTCTCCCTCAAACAATCTAGGCGCCCCCAAGACCACCGTGGCAGTCGCTTTGGTGATCATGGAATACTCCGAAAGCTGAAAGCAAGGCCCTGAGCAAAAAAAAAAAAAAAAAGGATCTCGGTCGGAGCAACACTTCTTGTTCAGGGCAGCTCTGCTTGGGGCCTTCACGGGGTTTCGGATGTGGCTGGCGACAGTGCCCCACGGAGAAAAAAACCATCAAATCCTGGGGCCGGAGCAGTGGCCCACCGTCCTCCTTGGCACGGGCTCGCAACCGCGCGACCTTTTGGAAGAGCACCTAGGCATTCTGCTCAGAAAGAGAGTTGGCAAGGGACCCTAAGGTGAGTTCAGAACTCTTGCACAATCCAGGAAAGGCTCTTTCGCGTCCACACAACTGGGAGCTCACAACAGGACGCGAGCCAACCACAGGCACAACTACAACATCAACCCGTCTGTGCAAAGCGATCTCCTGACCCCAATCAACAGAAAAAGCACCACTAGCTGCGCGTCCCCTCCGACTACACAACACTACACGCTACACAACGCGAAGCTTCACTACACAGGGCCACCGCTCACTAGCTCATTAGCCTCACTGGATGGAGTCCAAGCCCACGCCGAACTTGCTCTTCAGTTCGGCGTCCAGAGCCTCTTCATCGACGGGCGAGTTGCCCCGCGCGATCGTCGAGAGTTTCGTTGGGTCATGCAAGGAGTAGAACTTCTGCATCTTCTCGTAGAGGCCCGGGGGATAGAGGGTCTTAGCCACATTCGCTCGGCCCTTCCCCTCTTGGGGGGAGTCCGGCGGGGCGTCCTCGCTTCCGGAGCTCTCGCTCCCTTGGCTGTCAGAGGAGAGCTCCTCCTCTTTCTCCTGTGGGTGTTGCTTCTTGTCGTACATCTGAGCCACGTACATGGCAGCCTGTATGGGATCCAACTTGGTTGGGTCCAGCACCCCCTCCGCGTTGAAGGTCTCACCAAAGTCGTCCGTCCGCTTCCCTCCGCCCGACCGCATGCCATCGGTGCCCTTCCCAGCCTGAGTGCCAACGCCGGCGCTGACATCGAAGAAGCCCGCGGTGAGCCGGCGCAGGCCCAGCAGCTTTACGACCCGCTCGTACGCCGCGCGCTGCGAGCGCGAGAAGGCGTGGTGCAGGACGGTGGTGAAGAGGCTCTGTGCTTTCAGCACGAAGCAAAGAAGGCTCACCTTGGGCGCGAGGTTGCGCCAGATGAGCCAAACATAAAGCTGGACCAGGAGCAGCGGAATGTCCTGGAGCAAGGTTGCCAGGCCCAGCTTGGCGAACACGACCGCCATCTTCGACGGAGTGCCGAAGTGGATGTGGGTGCGGTCGATGGAGCCGATGTGTGAATACGTGATGCGGAAGAAGCGGGGCGAAAGTACCGAAAGCAGCAGAATGAGCCGAAGCCTTTTCCGATTCTTGCGCCACCATGGCGTGTCGATGATGTACGTGGTGATGGTCATCCGAAGCGCGGCAGCATTTACGACGAAACAAAGCAGCAGTGTGCACAGGCCACCCAGGAAGAGCGTCCCATGCAGGGGGTGCGCATTCTCGGCCTGCAAGTAGATCAGCCAGGCATAGTCTGCGGTTGTGGTGTAAAGGCCCATCAAGGGCGTGAGGACGTCGAAAAGCCGGACCTTGGCGAGGCGGATGCAGCCGCCACACTCGCGCGCCAGGCGGGCCACCCCGGCGAGGAGCAGCGTCACAGCCACGGTGCCGCCCACCAGCGCAAAGCCGCCGAGCTTCACCAAATCGAAGGGGCAGTCGCTCTCTGTGAGCACCACGGCGGCAAACTGCCAGAAGGGCTCCTTGCTGCAGAAAAACTGCTGGGAGAAGCCAAATGACCTGGCGCTTGGATCACTCTTCAGGACAAGCTCCGGTTATCGCAGCAACTGTTGCTCTTCCCAGGTCGCTTTGCGCATCTATGTATGCAGGACAATTTCCCGCATACGTTATCCATGCTTTCGCAGGGCTGTCACACTAAGAAACCTTCCTTCGAAAGCCTGCGAGGCGAAAACACTGTACACTCAAGCGGGCAGAAGGGGGGTGGAGATTTCGACACCTGCCACACAGGGAGTCAAGCGGGTGTCAGGTTCAGCTTGCGGTTTTCAAGGGTTCACATGGCATGGCTGGACATCAACCAAGGGTTAGCATGAGACAGTCGGAGCACAAGCGAGCAAAGACGAAAGGAGCAAAAGCGCAAAAAGCTGGCATATCAGAACATGTCCCCACAAAGGTGCCCCCCAGCATCACGGGGGCCAAAGTTCTGCCCCTTCACTCAAAACCCGAGCACCCCCTAAAACCCTAAACCCTAAGCTTGAATAAGGGGGTACTATCATCCCGAGTAAGGACTGTTAGTATAAGGGGGAACATCCCAACCTTAAACCCTGCACCCACCTCTCGGAAACCACCTTGTTCAACATCACCAGGTCGCTCTGGTAGAACAAAGCGGAGTCCGGGTTGGAGAGCTGCGTCTTGAGCTCGTTCCTACACTGCCCCCCCCCCTTTTGGAAACCCATGTACAAGAGAGTTTAGGATTTAGGGTTTAGGGTTTAGGGTTTAGGGTTTAGGGTTTAGGGTTTAGGGTTTCGGGGTTGGGGGTTTGGACCTTTTGTGCCTTCATTTCGTTTTGTTGCCACCAGACTTTAGATCCCCTTCTGAGCCCCAAACCCAAACCCCGAACCTCCCTACGAGAAAACAAAGAAGAAATGGGGGGTTTCCAAAATTAGGGGTACCTTGTGGGGCCCTTATGTTAAGGGAATCCTACTATTTGGGGGTCTATATTTGGGGTCCCTTATTTTCGTAAACTTTCAAATGGAACATCATTCCTAAGGAGGCGAAAGAAGGCTCATGTACTCGACGGGGGCCACGAGGTTGCAGCCTTCCTTGGTGTCGATGCCGAAGGACAGCAAGTCCACCTCAAGGGAGGGTTTCCGACGATTGGGCTTGGGGGGCTTCATCGGGGTTTGTAAGCGTGCTTAGCAGGGTCTCTAAAAGGGCTTAATCGGGTTAACAAGGGGTTTAAGAATGGGGTTCGAAAGGAACTTACCAAAGGGTTTTGACAGGGCTTGATACGGCTTCTTCTGGAGAATCACCCTAAACCCTAAACCCTAAACCCTCAACCCTAAACCCTAAACCCTACAGAGCACGTCCCCACCTCAGGGCCCAACTCTTGGAGGCAGCGCGGCTCCACCGAGAAGCTCATGGTAAACTCAATGGCGCCCGCTCGCTCCTCCTGAGAAAGGGGACAGGGTTTAGGGAACAGGTTTAGGGATGTGTAGGGTGTAGGGTTTAGGGTTTAGGGTTTAGGGTTTAGGGTTTAGGGTTTAGGGTTTAGGGTTTAGGGTTTAGGGTTTAAGGTCTTTGTTTAGCTGCCGCATAGCTGGCCGAACCGCGAAGCAGGGTTTGAAGCTAGAAGTCTGTGGTTCTTGGGGGAAGAAACCTCAATCCTTGAAGGAGGTGTCAACAAACGCAACCAGATCAAAGCAAACCCGAATTTAGGGTTTCGACTTTAGGGTTTAGGGTTCAGGGTTGAGGCCTTTTTTGATGTGTTTCTTTGGGACTATTCTATAGGGTTTATAGAGGGGTTCTATAGGGACTTTCTGGGGTACATAACTTCTATCATCTTCTATCCCTTCTCATCCTTCACGTCCAAGATGTCCACGAGGTCCTCGGGGATGAAGACGGCCTCGGAGAGCTCCCGGATCAGCTCCTTGTCAAAGCTCTCCCCTAAACCCCCTAAAACCCTAAAACCCTTAAACCCAAAAACCCTAAACCCTAAAACCCTAAACCCTAAACCCTAAACCCTAAACCCTAAACCTAGCGCTCCTTGTCAAAGTTCTCCTTCTGGGCCGAGTACTCCGCAAAGGGCATCAGCACCACCAGGTCGAACCGCACGGGCTTTTTGTCCTCTCTTACTGTTGCTTCATAGGGGAAGGGGGGAATCAGGTACCTTATGACATAATTCCCTTAAAGGGTATAGCGGGTATATAGGGGATTTGTGGTACCAATACATAATTTCCTGTAAGGGCATATAGGGGATATAGGGGATGTATGGTACCAATACATAATTTCCTTCAAGGGTATATAGGGGATATAGGGGATAGATGGTACCTTATTACATAGTTCTTTCAAAGGGTATATAGGAGAGATGTGGTACCTTATTCCCCATTCCCTGCTAGCCAACAGCAAGTCCTGCGCAGTGACCTCGGGCGGCATGGTGGCATAGGCCTTGAGCGAGGAGTGCAGCCGCGCAGGGCGGAGGACGCCGTCGCTGGTCTGCAGCAAGCCCTCCGTGAGCCCAGCGATGTGGTAACGCTCCGTCGCTTCGAAGCCGCAGTCGGCGGTCCGTATCCGAATGTCCTGCACGGGCATGTGGAGGAGGATGTAGCTGGCACAGCAGCAGACCTCGTCTTGGATGGAACACTCGGTTTCGGAAATGTTCCGGAAGGGGATATCTCGCAAGGCGTTGATGCAGAAGAACTCATCGGGTGTATCCGTAAACGGTGACGTCCTCCTCCGGGCCAGGAGGAAGGCCTTCTGTGGCCGAAAGATGTTGGTCGATCGCGGCTGGATGCTCAGGAGCATATTGTCGGCACTAGCACTTGTAAATCGCAGTCCCAGGACATCCTTGACCTGAATCTCGAGGTCAAAGCTCGCGCTGGCACGAGGTGGGTTGCGGGAGATGGCGACGATAGTCCGATAGAAGAGCCCTGCCAGGATCGGGATGCCGGATATCTCGCCGGTGTTCACATCGATACTCAGCCCGGCTGGTAAGGAGGGTCGTGCCCGAAACTCCGCTTGGTCGTAGTAATTCCTGGGGAAATCGAGCTCCGAGAACTCTGCCACCAGGGGTGAGAACTCCAACTGCAGGGTGAGGGCCACAGATGTGATGCTGGCATTGAACTGCTTGTAGATGAAGGGTGGCGGCTGTCTTGCCTGGATGTCTAGTTGGATGGGTGTTGTGCTTGAAGGGTACACCACAGTGGAGCCATCATGGCCGCACCAAACGAAGAGGCTGGGCGCAGCGCCAGGGAACTGAAGAGCGGGTGCCAGGAACCCGACTTTACTTTGCTGGAGCTGCATTTCAATGAGCTGGTGGCTTCCTGGCAAGTCGAACCTGTGCCCGTTCTTTGCTTGAAAGGATCGCACACACGCACAAAAAACAAAAAAAAACACAAAAAAACACCCTCAAAAAGTGTTTTGTATGTCGAATACTATGATGAAATGTCAAGTTCTGTAACAACAGCCCAGGAACTGGATCAGATCAGATGCGCCCACGTAGCTCGAGGAGTCCTGATCGGGCACGAAGACCGCTTGGGGCTCCTGCGGGGCATTCAGCTTGGTTAGGAGGGCCACGCAGCGGACGATGCCCCGGATCTGCGAGGTGACGTTGAGGTAGGCGGCCAGCGAGGTGGACACCTGGGTCTCAGCTGCAAAGAGGTTGGTCAGCACATCGATCGACGGAAAGACATCCCCGATGGGGTTGAAGATGGGGGTGGCGTCCTGCTCGTCACCGGCGTAGCACGCAACGTACTCGCCCAAAGGCTCCGTATGCAGGAAGCTACCAGTGCCGTTGGCAATGGCCGGAACCTAGGTTGGCCCTTGAACAAACGGCCCTCCGAGAACAAAGAATCTCCTGAGCATGATGGCCTGGCTCAAGCCCTATCGTCTTTAGTATGTCTTAGGGAAGAAGCAGAGAAAGAGACAGAGAGCGAGGGGGAGAGAGGAATATAAATTACCAAATATGATGGACTCTCAACCCAGGAACAAAGACCTGGCCATTTGTGACCGTCCGTCCAAGTCCCGGCTTGTCGATGTCGAAGGCGGTCTCCATCCGCGGCGGAGGCGGCGCGGGTGGCTGAAGCACGCCGCACACGGCCTCCCCCGAAATCACGGAGCTGACGTCCGGCATGTACGCGACGGCCTGAAAGTTGAAGCCTTCCAGGTAAAGCGCTGCTTGGAGGTACTGCGAAATGGGCAGGTTTTCAGCCCCTTCCTCATACATCGGGCTCGCCGGATCGAGCAAGATCTTGGCAGAGCAGTCGGCCGTTGAGGCCACAAAGTGCTGGGCCAAGCTGGCATCGATGGTGGTGAAGTCCCTGTGCACCACCACTTCATTGCTCTGAGGCAGCTCGTTGCTGACGCTCAACAGCCGGATTTTCGGCACGAAGAACGTCAGGACGCTGGAGTTGGAGGTGACCAGCAGGTAGCGGCCGCTCGCCTTGTCTCCCAGGATGGCCGTCATCTCCAGATCCGGGGACCAGTAGATCCGGTAGTCCCTGCTGCAGTTGGAGCCCGCCGTGCCCGGGACGCCCCACACGGCCGTGGGGAAGACCGTATTCCTAGTTCAGGGTTGGGATAGTATTCAAATTTTTACAATCTTATTCCTTAGAGGGTTTAAGTACCCTTAAATATGTAAGATGTTACCCAACTATGACAAAGATTCGCATCCACCAACTTCAGGTCGGTCGTCTTCCGCGGCGTGCTGGTGCAGTTCTCCGAGGAGGCGATGGGATCCACCTGAAGGGCCCGGACCCGGGGCCAGGTCCAGGTCTCGTTGCTCAGATTCTGAGGACTCTCCGTGCTCAGCCTCCTCAGGGCCGTCATGTCCTGGCAGTGGCCCCCGAAGCTGTTGAAGATCTCCTTCTTGAGCACTAAAAGCCGGCCGCCCGTGTCGGAGCCGTGCCTCAACTGCAGCGTCAGGGCCGCGCCACGGTAGACGAAGGACTGGAACTGCCCCACCACCTGCAAGAGGCGTTCCGGGGGCTGGGCACGGATCGCCAGCTTTCCTGCGAAGTGCGGGAAGCCGGTGGGCGCCGCCCAGAAGCACACGAAGCTGCCTTCCGCGTCCGCCGCAAACCACTCGGAGGTCTCCGTGAAGGACTGGGCGTCCACCGGCTTCGCCGCGGAGGCGTTGGCGCCAAGGCACAGGTCCACCCCTGCCACTCCATCGAGCCACTCCAAGTAACCTGGCGTAGGATTGGAGGCCCTAAAACATTGGTGTGTTTACGTCTTTATAAGAATGTCAATTGATTATGCAGTCATACAGAGATTACAAGGGCAAAAAAAACCCAAAAAAAAGTTCCCAAACCCAAGTCCAGGTGACGGGGATGCTCGAGCTGGCTGTTGCCACTGGGGGCGACGTAGCGGAGGGTCTTCCTTGGGGAGGATGCTCTTAGAACCCTTGAAGCTCTTCAAGCCTTGCAAACCCTAGCAAGGCAATGATGCGCCATAACTTCCCCTAAAACGTAAAACCCCATCAAAGCCTTCCTCCAAAAAAAAAACACATCCCCCAAGAATCAGCCCGTCCACGACCGCCACCTCGGAGCGCCAGCCGAAGGGCAAAGCTGGGCTGTGCAAAGCCAGGAGCTTCCCCGACACCGCCGGGGTGTTTGCCAGGGCGAGCCGAAAGCTGGCGCCCGTCCAAAGGAAGGCAGGCTCGGGCGTCACAGATATGTCCTTGAGGGGCAGAGGATTTTTTGGGGACCCTTTGGGGATATATAAGGTCCCTGTTTGAAGAGAGGGTTAAGAAGGGTTCCCTTGCAAGGGTCCCCCTTTCCTACCTGGGAGTCCTGGGCCAGCAGCTGGATCTCGGAACCTTGGGAGCTGTCGGGAAAGGGCGCGGACTCTGCCAGGGAATGCAGGCACCAGACCCTCAAGGACGAGGTGTCTCGCTGGTACTCCACCAGGGGAACTTCCAAGGTGAACTCCCGGGGGAACTCGGGATCCATGCCAGGAAGGACTGCCGGAATCACTATCGAGCCACGGCCTTCGTAGAGGATTCCTGTGCTGAAGTCGCCCGGCACCACTGTTCCCTCCTGCTTCCTGGCGATGCAAGTGACGGTGCCTGGCATTCGCACCTCCAGCTTCAGCCGCAAGAGGCTTCGGCTTGAAGGCGGGTCTGTGGCAGGGCCGACGCTGCTGATGACCGTCGCCAGCTCAAAGGAGCCGATGCTGTTCATGGGCGCATTCGTGCCACTTTCAGAGACCACCCCGAGGAAGCAAAGGGCATAGAACCCAGCAGAGGCCTGAGTTGTGAAGTAGCCGGTCTGACCCTGAGACGCACCCTGTGCCACAGGCGGTGCACGGCTTGCTGTGGCACAGCCCGTGGCGTCGAAGTCTGCCTGCGTCGCCCAGTGGAGAAGACCATCAGAGGAGCCGGCATTCTCGAGGTTCACGCGCAGCAGGAGCCCACGATAGAACCGTTGAAGTACCAGGCCATCCAGGCGCTGCACAGTGAATCCTGGGACCTGTGACTGGACCACCAGCCGGTCATCCCCCACCAGCGCGATGCCAGTGGCACGGGGCTCGGCAAAGAAGCAAAGGTACCGGCGGACCGCTGAGGCCTCCAGCGTCTGGATGGAACGTATCCGGGCATCGTTCTGCCCAGCGGTGCCAGGGTCCACGACCTGTGTCGCGATGGCCGCGTCGTAGGTCATGCTATTGCACATGAAGGGGCTGGCACTCGTTTGAACACGCACGTCGGTGGTTGCCAGCCGCCGACCACTAGCGATGACCCCGGAATCGACATTGTACAGCTCCGCATAGAAGGAGGCCTGAGGCCAGAGGAAGCTTGGGAAGACCTGCAACCTCGGAGCCTCGACGCTTGCGGGCGTGTAGATGAGGAGGCCGCCAGGCGTCTGGGGAAGGATGAAGGACAGCGCGGATCCCTCCACGCACCAGACACGGTACTGCTGCAGAGGCTTGACGAAGGTCTTGAAGAACATCTCGACCTTGTTGGCACCTGGCTGTGTAGGTGTCGTGGCCTGCCCCTGGCCAAGGCCGATCGGGCTGAGGCCATTGGCGATGTCGGCGCCGTTCGGGAGGTAGGAGGGCTCGTACTCCGAGATGGCACAGCGGATGTAGGAGGAGGTGCTATCCAAGCTCGACTGGACCTGAACTGTGAGAGATGCCACGGTCGCGGACTCGAACACCACATCGGACAGGGGGTCCATGATCTCCAGTTCGCCGGCTTGGTGGTTGAAGGCCTCCAAAGAGTTGCAGGAGTCAAGGTTGGCACAGTAGCAGACCTTGAAGATGCCTCCGGCCGTGACTTGCCCCAGGGAGAACCTGGCCAAAGTGTCTGATGTGGCAGGCACAGGGTCTGCGAGGAGCAAGGACTTGAAGAACCCTGTCTCTTCAGGCTCCCCCGAGCAGGGCGTCGTGGAGTTCACGATCTTCACCCGGTCCGAGACGCCTAATCCACGGCCGGTGATTTCCAGGGTGCACCGCCCGCCCCTTCCGCAGCTGAACTGCTGATTGGGCGTGGCGCCGCGGACGTCCAGAACACCAATTGTCTGATGGTAGGTGGACAGGCTTGTGCTGCTGCAGAGGCCACCCCCTGGCGAGGGCACGCAGAAGCAAATCACAAAGGCGTCCAGAGCCTGAATGGGATCGATTGCGAAAGCCAGGTCTCCATCTTGCGTTACGCCCGTCGGAATGTACGGGTTGGCTGCGACGTCCCGCCGGCGTCTCGTGGCCGTGTCGATGGTCAAGAAGTCGCCGCAACTGCCACTGCTCTCGTCACGGATGGCGATCCTGTGCACCCCACTGTTGAGGCCGTAGCCTGGCAGGTTGAAGGCACAGGCCTCGTTTCGCGTGCAATTGATGACTTGCCCTGGGAAGGCTCCCGCAACGGTCAGGTACCCAGCCGTTGCCGTAAAGTCCTCTTCGGACTGGCAGTTCTGGGTCTCCTGGTCCAAGGGGGAGTCGAAGCCTGCGCAGTAGCACAACTTCCAAGAGCCTCCATAGGGAAGCTCCTCAGGCATAAACTGAAGAAACTTGTCCACGCCCACCTGGGCTTGTTCAGGGCAGGCGCGGGGTCGCTGTTGCGGGGTGGCTACAAAAGGTGGAGCCTGGGAGTGTTGCAGGCGCAATCCAAAAAAAAAACAAGGACCGAAAAACCCAAGCAAAGCTGAGCCCGCCTGCTTCCCAGCCGTTCCGCCCGCGACTGCAGGATCAGCAGCAGTCGCACCACAAGTGCCATCAGAGCTCACCAGGATCACCCGATCGCTGCCGTAGCTCAGGCCGATGCCTCCCTCAATGGGGCCGATCACACAGCTTGGCTGCTGATTCGCGACGCAAGTGGCGTTGAAGCCCAGCGTCTGTGGCCCACGGATCGTCAGCAAGCCAGCCTCAGACACGAAGTGCGTGGCGTCACTGCAGCCATCGGCGTTGCCAAAAGGGCACCAGCACATTCTGTAGGTACCCACGGCCGCCTGAACCGTGTCCACGACACCCCACGAAAACGTCGTCCCAGAGCTCGTGGCGGGCAGGGAAGTACCATTGTTCGGAAAGCCGTCCACCTCCTGACCAGTGCCACAAGCTGTGAGGATCTTCATGAGATCGCCACTTCTAAGATTGTTGCCCACAAGGCCCTCGATTTTGCAGGGAGCTTGGGAGTGGCAAGACTTCTCCTGGCCCGGATTAATGCCGACAACGCGCAGAGCACCAGCATCCATGACGAAGCCATCAGCCGTACTGTCTGGACAGGTCCAGCCGTTCTTGCACCAGCAAATCCGGTAGTTACCATACTGAACTTGCAGCGGGTCCGCCTGCCATGTGAGATAGGAGGCACCACCATCGGAGGCCACAGCCACCGCTGAATTGGGCCAGTTACTGGGAATCATCCCAGTGCCGCACTCGAAAAGGACCTTGATCTTGTCTCCGTCTGTGAGGCCAATTCCTCGGAAGCCCATCAGCTTGCAGGGGAAGCCCTGAACACAGGCGATGTCGTGATCGTTGGCCGCGCCGGACACGATCAGAAGGCCAGCGTTTGTGACGAAATTCGCGGGGCCAGAGCAAACATGCTCGGCATCCACCTGGCACCAGCACATAGCATACTCAGCACCACCAGCGCGGATGATGTTGTCGGTGCTGCCGAACGTGTAGTCTCCACCACCTCCACTGGCCAAGGCGATGCCGGCATTGGGGAAGCCTGAAACTGCCGGGCCCTCGCCACAAGTCTTAAGCAGCATGATCCGGTCTCCATCCTGTAGGTCAGTGCCCGTAAAGCCGGTCCAGGTGCAGGCCTCGAAGGTGCTGCACACCTTCACAAACTGCCCTGCGGGCCCTGGCACCCGCAGGAGGCCCAGCTGCTTGCGGTGGTCGGATGCCTGCAGGCAGGTGGCTCCTTTTGCGCACCAGCACAGCACGTAGTCCCCGCCCACGGGGAAGATCTTTGCCTCCCCCCAGCTGTGCTCCCGGCCCTGGATGGCACCAGTTGTGGTCCTTGCCCCGTTTGGGAAGCCGTCGATGGGCAGACCCCCACCGCAGGCCGTCAGCACCATCACCGAGTCGCCATCCTGAAGGTAAACACCACTGATGTCCGCGATCGCGCACCGGCGGCCACTAACGCAGGTCGCAGCTAGGCCAGAGACGGGCCCTGTGACGATCAGGGCGCCGATATCTATGTTGAACTCTGCCGGGTTGGTGCAGCTGTTGACGACGCTGCACCAGCAAAGCCGGTACTCACCCCCATCGACATGGAGCACACCGGGCCACATGAACTGTGTGCCGCCCATGGTGCCGGGCAGCGTCTCTCCGAATGCTCCAGGAGCTCCACTCAACGGAGTCCCAGTGCCGCACACACTCATCATCGCGACGAGGTCCCCATCTGATAGCCCGGTGCCTGCAATGCCAGTGAGGACACAAAGCTCGCCAGCCACGCAACTCCGGGGGGAGCCAGTCAGAGGCTCTCCCTGCGCTGTGAAGAGCAAGCAGAGGAGCCAGAAGAGCCACCGGAAAAGCCCAGCAGGCAGTAGCACGCCCATGGCGCACCCATTTCGCCGCATTCGCGGGCGAAAGGTGCTGCTCTTGGTCGCACAGGGAGGGCTCAGGGTTGAGAGGGCTGAGGCTTGAGGGCTGAGGGGCTTGGTGGGGATATGGATGTTGGGGTCGACTTTTTTGCGGTGCTCGGCGCTTTTCCTGTCCGGCACGCTGGCCCTTGATGCTTGTTTATGACGCCCTGCTTTGTGTGTCTTGGCGTCTCTTGGCGCCTTTTGGGGCTCAGGGGCTGCGGCTGGCGAGACGCGTCACAAAGGAGAAGGCCAACCCCGGCTTCAAGACTCAGCACACTCTTGAAAGTTTAGAGGGTGTGGGGGGCGTGGAGGCTTGAGGCTCCTTCCAAATCGGGCTCTCGGGGGATGAGCACTGAAAACATCCAAACAAAGGCCGCTCGCAGCTCTTGAGGCGAGGGTGCGGCCAGCCAAAAGCGGCAACACAGCTATGTCTAAGCCGACTGCCTTATCGACACCATCTGGGTACTCCAGCGCCTGACCACAGAAACACCGTGGAACATCATATGGAGCACCGTTCTCAAGCGTCTGCAGAAGTATCTTGGGGTCTCCCTGTATCCGCGCCTTCGGTTTGTTCAAGGACGCTTTCGGTCTTGGTTTCATCAAGGCGAACCTCAGCTGGAGACCATCACCACGCCCACACCGACTTGCTCCATTACGGACTTGGGGGTTGAAATCACTGATGATTCTTACGGTTGCAGAGTTCAAATCCAGGGCTACAGAATTTGTAGTCACAAGAGCTTCAAGAAGGTATGCCAGCCGGACTTGTTTCTGTCGGGTTGCACACACAATCGGGAAAGTGAGGAAGCAGCAACAAGAGCATACATCGTAGAACCAGGTTCCTCGCAATACTACTGTCCTGTCTGTGCGGCCACTCTCACGCGTTCCAGCAAGGGGCAGCTGCAACGAACGCACGTACCGCATGTACACATGAAAGAAGTCTTGTAAGAGGCTTGCCGTATGCTCATGGGACAGCCGAGGCTTTGGCCCCGTGGAACACACGCAGCTCTCGAGAAAAACATGGGGGGGTTGTCTCTGAGGCTTTCGCTGGTTGGACACAATCTTGCCGTTGTGGACCTGGCCACGTCAACTGCCACGAAATCTCCTTCTCGGGTTTGGGAACTCCTTTGATGCCCTTGGCCCTGCAAAGCAGCCAAGAGCAGATGCTCTCAAACTGCAGGCGCAAGGGAATTTCAATGTCGGAATGAGGGCTTTGTGGCCTGAAAATGGTGGCAGGGAAGGTCTGCGAGGGCGCTCTGCGCCCGAGTCCGCGCAGCACGTTCAGACATGCGGACACTTCTCGTAAGCTTCCAACATGAAACGGCTTTTTTAGAGGTTTTTCGGCTCTTTTTGATGTTTGCGTGTCCATGGCGGTGTTGGCAGCAGTTTCGCGGCAAGGACTTTGTTATAGTCACGACTGACCTGCGCAACTCCAAGATCTACGCACCACACAGGTGATCGATACAGCCTGTTCCACAGACACAACCAACAACTACAACTACACGGTTGCTCCGGAGTTCAATCATGCCAGCTCCAGCTGTTAGATTTGTCTTTGTACCGGCCTTGAACTCGTTCAAGAGGTTCCGATAATTCATCCGCAGGTCGATCATGGCCGGCGCGGACCTGGCGCAGCTAGCTGTTCTCAAACGGATCCCAAAAAAAAGCTCCCCATCGCGCTGGGAATGCGCGAGGCACGTACTACCGGGCGAGTCTGCTGAGCACCCACTTTCAGAATGAGCTCTCCACTGGGACACAGAAGCGAGATCTGCAGCACACCAGCACTCGACCCTTGTGTCATCTTTTCCGCTCCCAAAAAAGCTTCCCGAAGTCCCGGAGTCCACCCAATCCTCGACATTCCTGGAACCCAAAAGAGGAAGCCCAAGAGGAAGCCCAAGAGGAAGCCCAAGAGGAAGCCCCCTAAACCCCAAACCCTAAACCCTGAGAAGCCCTCACCTGGCATCCAGCTTCATGCGCTTGCCAAAGACCCGGGTAACTCCCAGCGGAAGGCTCTCTCGATCCACCGTGGAGAGGTCGAGCCTCGGTCTTAGGGCTTAGGGCCTCGGTCTTGGGGCTTAGGGCTTAGGGCCGCACATCATACTGATTCTGCAAAAAAAGGGAAAGGAGGAAATGTGGGTACCTGTCTTTACAGGTGGATCTGCATAAGGTGCCTCCTAGTTCCCTCATTCCCTGCAAAGAACCCTGTAGGCATAGCAGATAAAGGAGCTGCACCCTAAACCCCAAACCCTCGATGACTGATGCTGGGCCCATGACTCCTTAAGTTCCTCCTCTGGCTTCCACACGGTGACGGGGGGAACTTGAGGTTTCGGGTTTTAGTTTTTAGGGCTTAGGGCTTAGTTTAGGGTTTAAGGTTTTGGGTTGAGGACTGGCCAAAGCCTGTGGACGGTTCCTTCCCAGATTCTTTACAAACATACGAAAGCAGCATCAGGCCTGAGGCACACACGTGGAAGCATTCTGGGACAACGTGCTTCCCAGATTGGATTTGCCTGCTTTTGCAGTGGCCAACACACTCCATCAGCCGGGCAGGCAGAACATGAAATGTGAACTAACACGTTCGGCAATACCTGATCTATCAAGCATCACGCGTGCCGCTCACACACTATGACCGAGGCGCAGCACAACAGACAGGTGTTCCAACCACAAGAGCACTCCGCCCTAACCTTACCTGCTTACGCCACCGGTCCAGCCTTACTGCCACGTACAGCAGACCCGCATAGGGCCAGGGCCACCTCACAGCCTTCTTTGGTAGGAACCTCAATTAGCTGCACTTCTCCTGTCTGTGCCTGGAAGGGTTGGGAGCTCCCTGCCTTCCACCCGAAACCTTCAACACCCCAAACCCCAAACCCCAAACCCCACCCCCCAACACCGTGGCCTGTTGACAAGGAAGGTCCAGAGATGCTCCGGTTCATGTCGGGCGAACCTGGGAACGGGATCAGGTTTCTCGAAAGACTCGCACACTTGGGGTGTCAGAACTCGAGGGCACGAAGAGGTTCTGGGGTTCGGGAAGAATCCACCCAACTCGCTGACCTCTCGGACACGCTGCACAGAACTATCGGAACAAGCTACCCTCAAATCAATTGCCACAAAACTTAGCAGGAAATATTGCACTGCTTCTGGCAATGCAAGTTTCAGCTTCTGCCAGCTCAAGTTTTCAGATTTCCAGTGGCACCTGATGTGAGTGATGAAGGCAGCTTGTCCGGATAGCCCGGCTGGCACAAAAAGATCCTGGTCCTGAACCCTAGTAGAATCGCATGGAATCTTAGTGTTTGGGGCTTGCTTCCCAAACCAAGCGTGCGAACATCATGTGGAATGTCAACCTTGAAGCTTCGCGGCTTCCGGCGCTTGGACTGCTTGAGTCGCGTCCTGTCTAAAGAGGGACTTGCACTTCACAATCTTACAAGGAAGTACTCTCGCCTCGGTGCAGGGTGTGCCTTCTCCTGTCAGTTTTGGCCCCGGGGAGTGATCTTGGGATGGTCTCGAAGATTTTCGGCATGGTCTCGGAGTGTTTTGGTTAGGGTGCGTCATGCACGGGCACTGGGGTGTGAAGTGGCCGCGCACACTCGTGTCGCTTGTCAGCGTTGTTGTTTTTCATGTGCCTAATCTTGATACTTCTGCGAAGACACATGAAGGCTCTTCACATCCGGCTCTTTCCATATGGCTGCTCGGGCTGTCAGGTCCTCGGCGCCAAGCGCTTGGTGGTCATCCGGCGACCCCTATCAAAGTTTTGGGGTGCACCCTTCTTGAGTGAATGAGTGCGCGCGTACGCGAGTGAGTGAGTGTTGGCACCTGCTCGTGGCAATGCCGTGCCTAAGGCCCCATCCCTCGGGGCATCTCAGGGGCTCCGTCGCCCTCCGCTTGGACTTCAGGCTGGTAGAGCACCCCAGGCGCTGGTAGGTCGCGATGGCCAGTTTGAAGAGCATCAAACACTCTGGTTCAGCAAAACAAAAGCAAGGCGCAAACGTCGCACCACAAGCACTATTTGTAGCAGTGTGAGGCCCAGCAGCATCCCAAGCAGCAAGCAGCGGCGCACTAGAAGCAGGCCACCCACAAAGCATCGCACAGAGAGAAGCAACTTACATTAAAAAGTGCCAGCTCGTGGGGGTGCCCTACACAAGTCATATCGATGAGCTCGAAGCTGCACAGCTTGGCAGCGTCGGCTCTTGGGCTCAGTGGGCTCTTCAAAGCCCTACTAAGCGCCTTCTACTACTTCACCTCGTTGCTGCCAAAAGCCCTAGACCCTTGTTGAAAGAGAACGCTGATAATCCTGGAAGCCAAACCTCAAACCTCTACTTTTCTGCACCCTCTTGGAGTCGCACCTTGTGTCCTCTCCGTTGGCCGGCTCTAGCGCCAGCTATATCATCATGCGGAGGCTTGGCACATGTCAGGGTATCCTGTTTGACCGGTATCCTGCTTAAACACGCGTTCCTATGATGAGGGTTCAAGCATTTTGGGGATTATTGAGGGGACCCCTATGTTGAATAATCCACACGAAATCTTGCTACTTTCCCGTGCTGCACCCGGCGCGGCGAAACAGCTACGGGGCGCGCAGCAGATTTTGGATCACACAAACACACAGCTCCAAACGGCTTGTGTTAAGGAACAGGCCCGGCAAAAAAACGCACATCTATTCGACCAGCTTTTGAACATCCTTCGTTCGCAAAGTCCCAACTTTCTCAATTGCTGTGGGTTGGGGGTTCTTTTGGATGTTCAAGGTTATACGTTTGCCAGGGATGTTACCCTTTACACTAAACCCTAAGCCCTAAACCCTTGCATTCGGGCTCTGTGCGCGCGAAACCCTAAACCCAAAACCCCAAACTTTTTTTTTTCCTACATTCCTGAGAAGAACGACAGGAAGGTGATATGCCAAACCTGAACCTTTCGAGCCGAAACCCCCCCCCCTACTGGTTTCCCATATTCAAGCGCAGAAAACCGCCACCCAAACGCTAGAGAAGCTGCGA